AACTGTGGTCACTTCCACCTCCGCAGTTCGAATCCAAAGTTTCCCGGTTCAATTCTAAACAGACCACCAAGACGATTTGAAACCTGTAGCCCTTTCCTTTTGAGAATCCTCTGGCAAATAGCGGAGTTTGGGGAGAAATACTCTATCTGTCTTAACGCGGTGTCTTCACTTTCTCAATTAGCCTTAGCCCTAACTGGAGTTTAGAAGACGTTTCCCCGACCTCCTGGGCAGCGATAAACTAAGATGAGTTAAACATTTATCATGGTCCGGGACTGCAAGACCTCAATATTTGGCTAAGGTGTGCTAACCAACCTTCATCTATAATGGTGGTGGCCAGCATATTGAAACTGCTTCCCAACGGAACATTGGATATATATATAATTTAAAGCGGAATGACAGTGGAAAATTTGTTGAAATATAAACCAGCGACGTGAGGATGGGGTGCATTGAACCCTAATAGCCATGGATGTCAGTAAGTTGCTATTTAGTGCTTGCTGTGCTGAGTTGGTAAATTCAACCAGCTATGTTCAGTCGAAAACGTAGCTCTTCACAGAGTACAATTCGATATTATGCATTTGCTGATTTTTATTGGTGAACTGGCTTTCAGGATAGGCATCGATCACCATGAGGAAAGCTATAAACCCAACTATGGCCAGTCTACAGTTTTTTCCCTATGGCTAATCGGATATAAGGACTAGCTACCAACAACTGACATTTTAAGAATCAATTAAGAGCCAATTATGATTTGTGAATGACCAAAATTGAAGTATAGTTTTACAGACGCGGTAAGTAAATCTTCGTACATCATGAACTCCTCTCCTTGGAAACGTTGTCGACCACCATCAAATCCTTAACCTAAGATGATCTCCCCGATTCAGATATAGCCACCTACTCTACGAATTTTAATTTAAGGACACCGACAAGTTCGCTTGTCACGCACTCGTGAATCATCATTATATTTAACAGTGTTACGCCAGTCCAATCGACTTTGGATCGGATTACAACAATTGCCTCACGGTCTGATGAAGCTTTTGTGTCAAAAGCCAAACGTTGCCCAAATAAAAACTACCGATCGTTTATCAAGTTCTTCTGAAACACCACTGTTTCTGTTCTTCCTGGGACTCATCATCGAGGCACCATCAGCGGGCATTCGTTTATCTTGCCTCCTTTTTAAACACAAAACTGCGTGCAAACGGAAATACAAATACCTTTCCAATGCGATCGTGGTAACAATAGACTCACATTAATCTTCAATAAGTCTCACGTTTACGATATTATTTAGCCAGGCCTCGTGCAAGAGGCCTCGTCAGATTTTTAGCCAGAACGATTTTCAAGTCATCCAGTTATTTCTTCTGATGAATCTCCAAGAAGACGGAACCGGTAATGAGCTGTCAAGTGGTTTTCATCAAACTTATAAGTCACGTTCTGTAGGAAAAATTACTTTAGCAACTTTAGTTGGGTTCTGAGTGAAACATGAGATGGCAGTAGTTCAACAACTTCCATTAAGTGGTACCATAAACCAGGAAATAATCTGCTATTCATTGGAGCTTCCGTTACTTCCTTACCTTCATTGTTATGGTGAATGTGGGCGAAGGAAAATTAGTCTATATTCGTAACCCTTGATTAAAAAATTATTAATAGTCTTTCTGTTGTTCGCTTGATGAAGCGTTTTGTAGGCAAATACGGTAATAAATTGCTTCAAATATATGGAATGAAATAAACTGTATGCTCATTCGCCACAATCTCTTCGATGCTGGTGATATTGATGGCAACCTGGATCAATTTTGAGATTTGTATCGAAAATGACCGCGTACTTTTGAAGGGAGTTTGTAACAAATGACGAATGACTGTTGCGCTTACAGCTCACCGTTCTCCGTGGTTTATCAAATCTCCATCAGGCTACAGCACTTCTCGCTGAGTTACCTGTAAATAATCATATACGCAGTGAACAGACAACGTCCGTGATGAGCGCTGGGAAATTAGGTAGCCCAGAATAAGGTAAGTTGGGAAAATTGGAAATATCTACGACTTTCACCACATTTCGTCTATCCCAGAAAGAAGTATGCCTTCAAGTTCTTACCAAAAGTGACCATCTTATTTACCCTTCCAGAAGCTACATTCAACTGACCATAACACGAGTTTGAATCGTTTGACTTCTTGCTCTTAAATTACCCCAAATACAAAATCTATAAGAGCTCAGAAATAGCGTGTATCAGAAATCGGCCGTTAGATTATTCAAGCTAGTTCATCATGGTTTACGGATCAGAGACTCTGGCGTATCGGCTTGAGACGTTGCAACGGATGAAAATGTGGCGGGGTTTGATGGACCTTATCCGCTTCTGAGAACGGAAAGTTTTTGCGAATATGTCCTGACGTATATCTCTCAACGTTTTATGAATTGACCGAATAGTGCTTGATTAGGTGCATCCGTTGACCAGTTTTTCCTTCCTCTGTATCAACCCTGGATTGGTAAACAAAACAATCATTTGGGATGTCATTGGTGCAATGACCACTGGGCGGCTTACTTGTGTGAAATACCTGAAGCGAAGACTTACTTTTGAACAAAGATCATCGCAGTGGTTGTCTTTGTCTGAAAGCATCGTATAACAAGAACCCTTATTTTTGTCGCATTTCGCTGGTAAATTATGATCAATTCACTATGTAAAAGTCTGATTCTTGATGAGTGAACCAAATCTTAGACCCATAGCCGGTGAGGATGAACTTATTTACCTGGTATGTTCAGCAGCTTTTGAACTATGATCGTGAGGTAGTTTTTTGCATTTAAGAAGCGCTCGTAAAAAGAATATGCTGAAATGCTTATTGTTTTCTTTTGTAACGGGTGCCATCATCATCGCTTTCTGCGGTTTGGCTTTTGTGCACTGAGGTTGTTTCAAAAGGACGACTGCACTGAACCAAACGTGGAATGGATGGATGAAACCATTAAGGCTGTTTGACGGGGGCTACAACAGCACTTTGTGTGTGGTAGTTCGCCCCTACTTTCATGAAACATCCTTAGGTTTGACAGCTATCAGGGTAGTTGTGTGGTCCTTAAACTTGTCAAGTACTGACATCATGTCGGCCTTACATATGGGTCTTTGTATAACCCAAACCAATGGGAAAAATTGTTGGGCGCGAGCAGAAATATTTAACCAAGATTGCTGGTCGCAATTCGTCCGGGAAAACAAACACAGTGAACGGAACACCCCACAGGTTTCTGTCCTTAATTACCAAAATATTCAACAATTGTTCACGTGCAGTCCCATGATCCCGCAGAGCATATAAACCACTTACAAAAGAGCTAGCTGTCCCTGGCAAGCACGCTTAACTCCCAGTGTTAACTAACTTGTAGCGTAGCGAAGTACTTGTCATGGTGAGAACGAAGACAGGAAGCAAGTCTTGATTTTTGCAATCATATATCATGACTGGCTAATCACAAATCCATATGAATTTGTACCTGGATTACTAGCCACGTACAACTGTGGAGGGGAGGAGCGGAATTGTGCACGGGTCAATGGGTCACGAAGTAGAGTGGATGTCGTCACAATCAAACGCATTTTCCCACGATTTAGTTCGACTGCTACCTAATCTACTTTACTCCATGGTCAATCAACCGGTATGACCTCCCCTCTCTTCTTTCATTTGTACCAGTGAATTTGGTTGTGATTCATATCTGGCTTCATAGGAATTTTCAGTGTTTATCATGACTGAAAAACACGCTGAAGATATTGGTTATTTTACGGAGGAAGACAGGTTACTGAGCTTCAAATGATCAACGTAATTGTTCGAGTGCTGGAAATTCATTCCTCCACACGCGTGGGAATCAGATTTAGAAAAAAACAGATTTACTGCTTACACAAAGTGGACTGTGATATGCTGAGAAAAGCCGGTCACAAATAATGTCCGATCTAGAAGCAACCATCATTTCCTGAAGCATCAGGCCAAGAGTTAATCTCGGAAAAGTAGACGGATGCAGGTGACAGGCTGTCACTAATTCACTCAGCTTGATGGCACGTTATGATCCTACGGTTCGTTTGCCCACCGATTACAGTGGCTTTGCCAAAGAGATCATCAGCAAAACAGTGCGTTAAATAAAATATATATTTGGATTTATGTTGTGATTAGACCGTGGCAGTTCCAATTTGTTTATCCCTTGGCATCAGGCTGAGCCAGAAAAGCTGTACAGGCGACAGGAACCAGATATAACCAAGGTTCATAACCGGGCTCGGTGATTCGAATGGCTGTAACCTTAGATTTGCTCCATCCCATTAAAATTTCTGACCTCCTTTATCATACGTTTAGAGAGTCTTTCAACCAGCTAGGTTTGCATCTGAGGAAGTAATAAGCTGGATTATCAAAAACCCCCTTGTTTAGTTTTTTAGAATGACGTTTCAACTGCCAGTGTGAGTGAGACCTTTTGCGTAAAATCTTAGTGCACTGTGCGTGCTCCATTTAAGGTTAGAAAAATTAGATCAAAGTAAAGGTTATTTTTCGGCTCAGTTAATCTAAGTTTGAACAAACAAAGGAGGCTAGTCGTGGCTGTGTATCATTACTCCCACACAGTTTTGACTAGGACATTTTCGAATACATAACCCGATAAGCACAGCAATAAAAGCTAAAATCCAAAACCATAAATATTCCAAAAGTTATCTGAATTTATTTCATCAGTACCGCTTCCTAATGAGCCGTGACCATTCGATCTGTTTGCGTGGGGCATGATCGTGCCAGTATCCATTGTATCGGAGGTCTATGCACTGTCCGGCCAGTAAAATATAAGATAAAAATGTACCAGACCCGGGTGTGATTTAACTTCACTAACGGGGTATAAACGTATACTATTCCAAAAATTCGGGTCATCAGATGCACAATCACAGTTTCCTGGGTAAAATCGTTGCGAAGCCTACCTAAAAATTAAACATATGGGTGTTCTTTATTTCTGAGGAGGATTGTTAATAAACATGGTCACAAATTTAGAGTATTGTTTTTGTTCCTTTCTCCATCAGGTGTTCTACGGATGAAATGGGAGATTATATTGAGTTGAATCCATGTTCTATGCTGGACTTTTTAAACATGCCTCAAGTGCGCTACTGCCAGGCCCGCCCAAAAAACAAAGAAGTGCCCATACGATGGAACAATCCTTGTCTAAAAGTTCGATTTGTTTCAAATGAAGTAATTGTCCGACGCGGATTTCTTGCACATTACACATTTGACATATCAGGTGAGTAAACTCTGAGTGGCTCACAGTGTTCAACAAACGCTGGCTCCAAAATTCCAAGTGTCACCAATAATTATGCTTCATAAATAACACTTCCACATAATTTTTGGTAAAAATTGAAGTAAACCTACAGATATGTCAAATGCATCAAAATTAAAGCTGCTTGGTTACAGCCGGGTGGGTTTGTGTGTGGATTCAGCTTTCTTTCGGAGGGATCATTTTATATCCACGTAAAGTGTCTTCTTTCAACAAACACTTGCTTAAACTTATCTGAAAGAATAAGGGTTACAGCAGTGACAGAATCCTAACATTGACTGTCTGTGGGATATCTTCATTAGACAATGTTGAATAGAATTGGTTTTTGTTTGCTGAATTAATAGCTTTGAGTCAAAAGGCCAATTAGTTGAGTGAACCTATTTTGTATATTTTTGCTTCGTTCAATTCCTACTTTAACTGGGGCCATCTGAAATATGATTATTTTGCCGTTTTCAGTTAACTATGTTCTTTCATTAGCCCTTGGAACTCTTGCTTCATAAGGACTCGTTAGTTGGCGTTAGTGAAGTAGGGGTTTCGAGTAACTCACCAGTCAGCGTCTTATTTGTTTTTCGTTCTCGTTCAGTTCCTTCCGAACTACATGCTTGATCCTCCTGAGATGAAAACACTACCTAGAAAACAAATATCTAAGCGTCATATTTGACGATGGACCACACAGTAAAATTGTGCAACTCGATAGATCTAACCCAAATAGTCCATGTATTCACAATTTTCCATGCCTTCGTTTTCTGAATGATCTGGCTACATCCAGCATAAGTACGGAATCCTTATACTAGCCCGAAGTTATGAACTCGTTCCGGTGTATATACAATTACGATCGGAATATAGATTGCAGTCCCACAATTGTACAGCTTTAAGTGGCACTAACGGCGAATTTTAGGCTGTACACGTGGCTCGGATAAGTCATTACAAACTTGTTTTAAAGCCACTCCCAGTATTCAGGTCACCAGCTGTTGGAAGCTGGTGCTGGAAATAAGTTGCGAATCAGATCGTCTGACCATCCAAAATCTACTAGTGAAGACAGATTTCCGTTGATGTAAGAAAGCAAGGTCGTGGTCTCCATTTTGAATTTCTTACTCTGTCACTTGTGCGAGTTGCTTTGGGCGGGTGGCAAAACCTTCGACTTATCGTGGCTGGTGATTTTCTAAAGCATATTTTAAGCTGTCACAGCTATATTTCTCGTAAGAGATAGGGCTAAACTTACATATTTGTAGGTTGCACCGGTTTTAATAAATACAGTTTCTTTAACTGTGTTTTGTCTTGTGACATGTTTAGACCTGGCTGATAGGTGTTGATTCCATCCCTGAAAGGCAAGTACGTTATATTTCTGATGCTGCAGATTAGCTAAGTTAGCATTCACAAGTATAGGCCACTTTCAGGCGACACGGGCTCTTCCAGTGGAATTCGCAGGCAGCGTAGTCCAAAGAGAGGACATAAGAAAGTGCTGATACCAAATATGCCCGTAATATTTTGTTTGAATCATGATTTATTGACAAGGACAAAATTCCCTGCACACAAAAGGCTTCAAATACCGGTGGTTTGCGATAAAGCTAGTTGCTCCACTTGGAAGGTTTTATCATTATTTAGTGAGGTTTGACACGGGGGACTGATATATACTGAATTGAAAGCAAGAAACCCTGGAACCTTGCGATCTAAGCCAGTTGTAATAATTATTCGCGGGATTTCAGCAATGACTAGTTACAGAAAAAGGGAATAATTACTTGACGAAACATTTGGAAAATAAAACAAAACTGTATCTACTAGAACTGTCATAAATACTGCGTTATCGTATGTTACTCTTACTGTCTAGTGCCGGAAGCCACAGTTGAATTTCAAAGTCACTGTTATTCAGTACAAATATACATACATAAATTACATATAAATATAATCATGTTAAATTAAACGGTGCGGCTCGTACAACAAACGTGACAGTGTTTGATATATAGACTTTTTGTAATATCTTAAAAAGTATCGAAGGGCAGCCTTATTATTCTAAAGAGTATTTGCTGTACAGGCATGCGAGCTACGGAGTTGTGAATAAAAAACCGTGATTGAAGGTTTTTCACTATTTTCTATGAAAGGAGTTAGTTAGATGTTCCTCAAGATTTTGTTGTATAGATGTCAAAATGATTATAACTACAGCGCTTCTAAAATTCTACGAGCTAACATGCGGCCGGACATTATATTTTTCGATGGTCTGCCGGTTATGGTAACATTTGGCTGCCGTTTTTGTATCCTAATTGGCAAACTTCAATGTTGGTATGGAGACGAAAAGCATAAAATACTTCTTTGTGTGAAGCCCATGAGGACCCGATGGAACGTAGACGACCATTGCGGTTTCATCCTTGTTCCTGTGACGTATATTGAGATGATGCTATGTCCCTTCTATTCTCGTCCAGACAAACTGACTTCGGCAGTAAAAATTATTCAGTCCAAACTCAATACATTGTACTAACTCCCTTTCGAACAACCACCGAAAAGGATTGTGTGATTGGATAGTTTGGCTGTTTCCAAGGCACTGCAGTTCTTCGTTGTGTAACTAAATTGAGTCAAAGTATTTAAATAAGTGAACTCATGTTCAGGCTTCCGGTAGTATACTGTTGGAGGTAACATGTAATTAATTTTTATAGACGTAGGTTTAAATTGACCCAAAGAATACCTTCAAGTTGAAAACTAAATAAACGTTGGTGAGTAAGATGCGGGTGGTGCGTATCTTAGTCAAAATACCTACCCGTAATGTAGGCTGAGTCAACGGATCATCATGCAATCGGTAAACACAGTAGGACTAAACAATTTAGCATATGTTCGCGGCAATGTTGTGCATCGAGTTGAAGCAAGCTAAAATGAGGCATTCGGTTCTCATATGATGTGGAAATCCAGCAAGTTATGTATTATGCTCAAGTGCAACCATGCGTGTTAATTTGGGGGGTTTGCCAACCGATCGTGTCTTAATTTCAAATGAAGCCTGCTAAACGCTACACCCGGTGTATTCAAACTATGACAGCCGACTTGTTCACGTTTCTTTGAATAGCATGTTCTTTTGAGGCAGCAAAATTCGCATGGCAACCATCAAAAGTCAGCGAAGTTATAAATCAGAATAAATGTTTTTATTCGCATCGCTTGACATGTGTGTGTTTCGTAAAGCAAAGAAAGGTGATTTACAAGCTGTAAATTAACATTATCTGTTGGTAGTGAGGAGATTTGCGATTTTTGTGGTTATTTCATCCTGCAAGTGAAGCCAATCTATGCTGAAAAACCGATAGGCACTGTACAGCTGTTTCATCCTTATTGGGAATCATCAGCAGTGCGTATCTCACGAAACTCCGAAGAGTCTCGAACCCGCGACCTCCCGGCTAGTAGTTTGAACACTTAATCGTTCGGCCACGAGTGGCTGATCAGCAGTTTGATTAACTCACACTTGGACAGGATATAGCGCCTGCAGTTACGGGATCCACATCACGTGATCACACGTGTTGACTGGCTCCTCGACCCACGACTTCTTAGATGGAAGTTTCACTCATCGGGCGAAGTTTATCCTTCCACTGAGCTACTTACATATTGTTGGTAGTGTGAGGAGATTTGATATTTTTGTGGGANTCAGCCACTCGTGGCCGAACGATTAAGTGTTCAAACTACTAGCCGGGAGGTCGCGGGTTCGAGACTCTTCGGAGTTTCGTGAGATACGCACTGCTGATGATTCCCAATAAGGATGAAACAGCTGTACAGTGCCTATCGGTTTTTCAGCATAGATTGGCTTCACTTGCAGGATGAAATGACATTATCTGTCCAAAATAATGTTTGGCTGAATTGCCACACCTATAGCTAAAAGTTTGCCCATGACTGCTCGTAACTTCCCTTAAATCTTTTGTAGGATAAAAGAAGGATTTATAGTGTTTGTGTCTACACAATAGATGGAAGCACTCTGCGAAAATTCCACAGAGAAGAAAATTTTGATAATTCTCTAAAGAATCATTACGTTTTCCCGTTTCATACCAGATTCACCTCGACTTTCCACCGATGTTTCGATGATGGTTTTGACATTGGGTCTCGTACTTTTCGGATACCCCTGTTGATCACCACTCCGTGAGCTCCACCGTAATTTCAGCCGTGCTCTATACTAACGGAACAAAGTGAAGTTGTAAAAGATGTACACAAGATTTTTGTCCAAGTTTTTTTGTTATTTTTCTATTGATCAGGCGAAATAAATTTTATGACATCCTTAGTTTTTTCCTACAATTATACGGAGATATGAGTCATATTCTGACAGCAGATGACGGTTAATTTAGGACTCCAGAAATTCCTGCAGTGAAATCATGAACCCAGATGGAGAAATTCACGAAACACATCTCTTAATTGAACCGCACTGCAGCGCGCAATTTTGTCCGACTACTAGTCAGTCAACAGTAGTTAAAGTTTTTACACCCGAATGTGATCCTAAACGGAGATGATCCGCCTCTGATGACATGTAAAATCAGACTTTCTTTGGAGCTGGAAAAGTGAAGTTGTTTCATTGTACCCATCCCACTGGATTATGACACTAAATCAGGATATTTTACTCAATCACTGTGAAACAATACTTATGCGGGTGCCCCTCGAGCACCGGCGTTTTAGATCACATCACCTTTTGGCATTTTAAACAAACTGCAGATAATTAACGATTTTGGACAGTAATCAAGACAGGATTGTTGACTTCACAGATTTTGGAAAAGCCTAAATTTGGTTTTCATGGATTTGTTTCAAATAACTAATTACCTTCAGGGCGGAATTCCGATTCATAGGTCCACAAAAACTTATGGGGCAGGCAAGTGAAATATTGTAGAACTTAGCGAAACGTAATCTCTCCATACTCATAACTCACCTTATTGGTGTACTTTTATGAAGCACAACAATAATACACAAGCCACAACAGTGGCGTGACTGTTCTAATCAGAGAATTTGAAAGAATAC